TGGGGGATGTTTGCCAGGTAATATAGACACACTTTTGTTTGTCACAACTGGGATAGAGGGGAGGTGCTGTAGGCACCTAGTATTTGCCATCAAGGATGTTACTAAACATCCTATGATAACACAGGACAGTCCAGCCCAAAATGTCATCATAAAAATTTATTTCATTCTCATGTGACATTCTCAGGTGGTTATGAGTAAGTAGATACTTCCTGATCTCATGCAAAGACTCAGGCTAGCAAAATGACCCTGCCATTATCTGTAGGTTGCTTCCATCTCTAGGAGCAAGAAGATCATTTGTTGACATTTTCCAGCCAGTTGGATAGGGAAAGAGGAATTTGAGCAAGCATCCTAGCTTTAAGGAAGAGAACTGTAAGTCATACATATCAACTTTGCTTACATCTCTTTGGCCTGAACTTAGTAATGTGATCCCGTCTAGCTAATAGGAAACAAAGGCAATGTACTCTCTGGCTGGGGGATCATGGGCCCCATTAAAACTATGATTAAAAAGGGCCAGCCAAGTAGCTCAGTTGGTTAAGAGCTCACGCAAAAGTGTGAGCTCTGAGCAACAGCAGTTTGATGCCTGGCCCGAGCTGAGTTGCCGCTGATGGCAGGATGGCTCAGCTAAAGAAAAAACAACAAAAAAAAACTATGACTAAAAGGAAGAATAATAAAAGGTGAGTTTAAGACAACATCAAAAAGAGGAACCTATTAAAAATTGTATACTACACTAGAAAACCCAAGATTATGCTTTTATACATGATTACCCTAAGATAAAGAAGAATAAATATACTTCATGGGGAAAATAATTATGTAAACAGTGAAAATGAGTTAAGAACACAACAATATGAGATTAAAGTAAGTTAGCAAAGGTATAAAAATATATTACAAATTCAAATATTGCTAGTATGAAATATTAAATAGGGTTAGAACAAATAAGTGAAAGAACTGAAAGTGCAAAGAATCAGTGACTTGAATTAGAAGATTGGGGGGAAACATTCAGAATTCAAGGCAGACTTAGAAAGTAAAAGATACATATATAAATTACAGGGACTAGAATATGTGTATGTATGTGTGATATATATATATATATACACATATTCTAGTCCCTGTAATTTCATCTTATTCATAAGTGGAGGTTCAAATAATTTATTTTCAAACTTTTACACTGCTACTCTTTTTAAGCTCTGGCTGAGCTCTGGCTATATTTATTTGTTTTTTAATTTGCCTTCTCTTTAATGACATTGTTAAAGAAAATACTGTTTTGTTCTTTGGAGCAGAGTCACTTGGTTTTCGTTTTGGGG